TATACAAAATACCGTAAAAATTAATCACATCACAGCAAACTTAACTTAACCTAAACGACATGTTACATGAAATGAGAATTATTTCCACATGCACAAATTTCCTTAAAGTTCTGGCAATATTTTTTTTTACTCTACTTTGCAAACACGTCCGTTCCGTTTTAAAGTTTAATCAAACGTTTATCCCTATTTAGCGTCACTTATAAAAATAGGCTAGGTGGCATTACTACATTTTTTATCGTTACCAATCATTTTGTTTTATACATTTTTTTTCCTATTCATTCTCATTTCCCCAGCGTACTTTCCTTGATTAGCTTTATCACTTTGGCTCTTTCGTTTTTCTTTTTCCTTAGCATTTTTTTTTCAGACACCGTATTCCAGTTTTCGTTTTCTTATAGTTCAGCATGATCCAACTTCTCTCATCAACACGTAAAGGTTTCAACCACTCAATACTACGTGCAGGTCGTATCCCCCACGGATCACAGTATTCTCTCACAGACGTTAATGAGGCAATGCCAATGCTAACATGTACACTCGAGAATAGAATAAAAAAAATACATTTGCCACATTCTTACACACACACACACCTACCAACATAAACACACGTGCCAACACGCACACACACACTCGAGGACGTACACAAACGAGTAATGATACATACACACGTCTCCCAGCCATAAAATACACATTTGGCTGCCGCGCTTGGATTCCCTCCCTATCATTCACGTATATAATAGTGATTTTCTTCGCTACTCTCATGCTACTTTTTTATATTCTCCATTGTTCTCTATTGAATCTGTCGTTACTACAGCATTTCTCTGTCCAGCTAATATTCTGGTGTTCCTTTACTCATATTCTTCATCTGATCAGCTTTATCCTTCCTCCTTTGTCTCCGTCATTTGTTTTTACCTTTCATATTTCCTAGGCTCGTGTTCCCGGGCAATGAGAGAGTAGATTTGACAGTAAGTAAAAGTGGTGAAGAGGATAAAAGAAAAAAGTTATTAGGCTATAAGACCTGTACGCAATATCTCACAGGTAACAGAATGAGTAAAAGAATCGTCTTCAATAAAATTATTAATAAACTGCTAAACAAATAATAACAATCATATATTATAAATACACTCTTCAGTAAACTAGGCCTAAAATGACAAAAACAATTAAAATAGTCACTACCATTGGGAAGGCCACCGACCAATAACTATCGCCACACTAGGCTTAAAACTACGGCACATTTAGTTTTAACCACCAGAAAAAATACTATTTCCCCCCTCGTTGGTTACGCTTATAAAACCTCCAAACATAAACATGGCGGACTTCAAACTCCGGTTACGAGAAATTCCAGCACCAGGAAACTAAGGTGAAATACTGCATAATTGTGGGCAGTGAAAATGACTTGACCAACACTACAACTAATGACTGTCTGATGATAAAAGGACGGAGACAAGCGGCAGATAGATGTGGAGTTCTTCCTCATCCTTGTCATTACTGGTACTCTGGTAAGCTTCAGACAACATTGCATTTCTCTTTACCACACTCCCTCTTTCTGTCTCACCTTTTCTCCTCGGCTACTCTCCCCCTTTATCCCTCACTTTTCCCTCATTCTCTCCCACTTCTTTCCTCAGCCATTCTGACCACTCCTCCACGCGTTTCCACCCATCATGCACCAACCCCTCACGTGATACTTACTGTGCCAGTACAGCGTAACTGTGTTCCCAGGCATGAGGCAACGGGTGTTTGTTTGACATAACCAAGGGCGCCCTGCCTCCTGGGAACACTCGCTTCAGGCAGCATATTTTCTCAGGCGACCACTGCCAAATGGCGGTGTTCATTGCTACTAAGCCGAAATTTGCCCAAAATGTTATCCCGTCAGTCACGTTTATATTAATTCCCCTTGTTTGTTTGTCTGTTCATCTCAATACTATATTATTATAATTTTAACTGCCGAGCACCTGGATATACTGTATTAAATTCTGGTCTTCAGGTTAAATGTTTGAGTCATCTCTGAAAATCTGCTCAAGGCTGATCAAAGGTCAAGATCAAAGCCGCGAAAGAAAAAATAATAATAATAAATCCCAGCTAATGCATAAAGGGTGCACATTTTCAGGTTGTGCCAATATGTCTGTGTTTTTTCCTACCAACGATCCACTGAGTTCTATGCCAAAGCTGTATACCAGAACACTAGTTAAGGTATATCACCGAGGAGGGCTGCTGCTTTGTGTTACAGATACTATGTCATATCGCCTCACATGTTATCTGACTAAATTATTAAGGTCAACACTGACATTTTGTTTTACTAGGCCAGACTGGGTCACATCCAGGCGAGTCTAACTTTTGCGTTTTAAACTTATAATGAGAATCTTGTTGTCACCTGAAAATTTTCTTTGTACTACTTACTGGTACTTCCACCAAGTGTTTTTGAAGATTTCAGTTAGTCGACTTCACTGGAAACTCCTTGTGTTTAGTTAACACTGGTCAAAAGTTACGGTCACATGACTTAAGGTCGGTCAATTGGCTGTAGACCTTCAAACATGTACTCGTAGATAAAATTCTGCTCATCAGTTAGACATAATGACAGTTTTCACCATCAAGTTCCCTCCTTGGGATTTGCTGTACCCTATGTTTTCACAGAATACACCAGGAAACTGCAAGGGTCAAGGAAGCGAAAATAGAGGAAGGCGTAGGAAATAATTGATAAGAAGCTAGAGGAAACATCCCCGAAAAGTACATTTGGGAACTGTGAACTACACTCTTCTACACTCTCTTCAGTTTGGGGGAAGGGGGGGCGTCAGTCGAGGAGAGATGACTGGACCAGCCCTGAGAAGACTCAAGTGTGAACCCCCAAAGACTTAATTATTAAAAATATATTCACTAATAGAGAGATTGTATCATACTTATTATGGTCTGTTCATAGCTCTCCCACACATACACTTACTCTCACACACTTCCTCACTCACGCACTCCCTCTTCCTCACATTCACACACCCCTGCTCTTAATCTTCCACACTCCCTCACACACTTTCACTCCCTCATTCCCTACTCCCTGACTCACACCCTCGCTCTGCCATACATCCTAATTTTACCATACACCTCCACTCTCTCATACACCTTCACTCTGCCATACACCCTTACCTTGCCATACACCCTCAACCTACCATACACCCTCATCCTGCCATACACCCTCACCTTGCCATACACTCACTCTGCCATACACCCTTACCTTGCCATACACCCTCACTCTCCCATACACCCTCACCCTACCATACACCCTCACCTTGCCATTCACTCACTCTGCCATACACCCCACTCCCATACACCCTCACCCTGCCATACACCCCTCAACCTGCCATACACCCACTCTGCCATACACCCAGTCTGCCATACACCCCACTCTCCCATACACCCTCACCCTACCATACACCCTCACCTTGCCATACACTCACTCTGCCATACACCCTTACCTTGCCATACACCCTCACCCCACCACACACCCCTCTGCCATACACCTCACCTTGCCACACACCCCCACCTCCCATACACCCCTCACCCTACCATACACCCTCACCCATACACTCACTCTGCCATACGCCCCACCTTGCCATACCCTCACCCTGCCTAAACCTCACCCACACCACACACCTCTGCCATACACTACCTGCCATACACTCACCTGCCATACACTCACTGCCATACACTCACCCTGCCATACACCTCACCCTACCATACACCTCACCCATACACTCACTCTGCCATACACTCACTGCCTTACCTCACCCTGCCATACACCACTCTGCCATACACTCACTCTGCCATACACCCACTCTGCCACACACCCCCACTCTCCCATACACCCTCACCCTATCACCCTGCCATACACTCCTTGCCATACACTCACCCTGCCATACACCCTCACTCTACCATACACCTCAACCCATACACTCACTCTGGCCATACACTCACCTGCCATACACTCACCTGCCATACACTCACTCTGCCATCACCCTACCATACACCCCCAACCTGCCATACACTCACTCTGCCATACACCCTCACCCTACCATACACCCCCAACCTGCCATACACTCACTCTGCCATACACCCTCACCCTACCATACACCCCCAACCTGCCATACACTCACTCTGCCATACACTCACCCTGCCATACACCCCCACTCTCCCATAGACCTAAAATGTTTTTGTCATTATGTTTCTCTAACACCATACTGGACCGTGATTTGACCTTCTGCTGTGACCCTGGCCTCTATATCTGCGAGACTCACTAGATTAATTTATCCCTTTACTAGCCCTAAGCATGGCTTGAGTCATTCAAACATTTGTGGACGAAACGTACAAGGATACTGGCATTCATGCTTGTGTACATACATACATGTATTGAGACAGACAAACATACATGCAGTATGTACAAAATGATTATATGTATGGATAATGCAGGCATAGATATATAGGTACCGCAATCATACTGTATATACAGTACGTAATACGCAGTAAATATATTTTGCATACCAATAGAGGAAACAAATAGGAAGTTATTACCATCGATGTCAGTATAAAGAGTGAAACTACCAGCCAGGAAGATAAGTAAACAAGTATTAAACACCCACCCCCCCCCCATGCCATGAACTAAATATCAACTAGAAAAAATTGCCAAAGAATATGGTCACTATTATATCCAAATTTCAGCTCTAAGCTCAAACTGTGCCTGAGATATTGGCCAATGTCACAGGATATTTATCCCTTGTGACATAGTTTCTGAGAGGCATTTTGTGGAGATCGGACAAACAAACAAACAAGAAAACTAACAGAACAACCACTGAATTCCCCCTACACGTTCTACACTTAGCACCAGGAGACAGAATTGGGAGGGAGCAGTCCACAATAAATAAGTGGAGAGAAAGGCAGATAGAGAGACGAATCGTTGGATGGATGAATACAGTATACTGTACAGATAAACTGACAGACATGTTAAAACGTACTCTCACACTTACCGTTGACCTTGGAGAGAATGAAGGCGAGCTCTGCCGGTATCTCCAGGTGGTTGACGCCGGCCACTGAGCGCTGGACCCTCTCCTGCTCCGCCTGATTCTGGAGGGCCTCCCTCTCTGCTCGCTGTTTCGCCAACTCCTCTGCCCTCTTCCGTCGGGCCATTTCCTCCTGTAGGGAGCATGACAGAAAGGTGATGGTTAACTGTGGTGGTAATGGTGATGTGGGGGATTGTTGAAATAAGTCTTGCCACAAACTGGCAATAAAACAGATACCCTGTAGTACTATGGGTTAAGCCTTAAGAAGCAACCAACGTTTTTGACAAAAGGGATAACTTTTTCTTTTCATTGCTACTTTTACTTTTTACTTTTATCCTCTTCGCCACTGATCGGCTCGTTAAGTGCTTGGGTGGTCGGTCACATCTCTGTTACACACTGTTGACAAATACTGAGCATGCACTGGCTCCTGAATATAACAGACCCTGCTCCAGTTTTGGTCAAGTCTGACCTGAATGAGCTCACACTTGGTGCCATCACAACTCTCTCTAGCAGATTGTTCTAAGACGGACGAAGTAGCCGAAAGGCGAAGTGGCCAGTATTCTCAAAACAAGCCAAGTTCTAAGAGTTCACAATTCTCACTCCAAAAAAGTTTGCCTTCACAGTTTTCTGGATTTGTGACTTCTTCAACCTTGAGCTGTGATCCCTTGTGGGGCAGACGTCTACCAGCTCCAGGTATGTACTGTACAATCATGTAGTGCTCCCTGAGATGTTTATACACTTCGACGAGGTCGCCCCTCGCCCGTCTGTAGTATAAGCTAGGTAGATGCAGGCGTTCTAATCTCGCCGGGTAACTCTTGAAGATCGTGACGAGCGACAGACCATCCGGATATCTAAAATACCTTCTTATATGACCTACTAGTTTCATTGCCTGATTCACCTTCTTCTCACAATGGCCCAAGAACTTAAGTTCATTGTTGACATACACACCCAGGTCCTTTTCACATTCGATCTCAATTAATGCAATCTCTTCATCCTGTTGGGACATGTGATACGCCTCCTTACTGTTGTTGCGACCCAGGTGCATCCTTTTGCACTTCGTGACATTGAATCTTAGCAGCCATTTCTTCGACCATTCTTGAAGCTCACAGAGATCTTTCTGTAACTCTTCACAATCTGTTTGGTTCTTAATTTCCCTAAAAACTTGGCATCGTCCACAAACATTTGTATGGAGGAGTGTATAGCTTCTGGCATATCATTAATGAAGCAAATAAACAACAACGGGCCAAATACACTGCTCTATGGTACCCCGCTTGTCACAAAGACACATGACGATTTCGTACTATTAATCACCACACGCTGTTTGTGGTCATGCAGAAACTCTCTGATCCATGCTAGGACACTTCCTTAAATCCTGTTTGATTCTCAGTCTTTCATGGGTATACTGTCGAAAGCCTTGGCAAAATCTAGGTATATAGTGTCGATATTTCTGTCTTTGTTCTAGAATTTGAGTCCAAACATCCAGTACCTTGAGTAATTATGTTAAGCAAGATCATTCCGGCATAAAACTGTGTTAGCATTCCTTTATAAGGGTGTTTCTTAGCAGATGTTCCATCATGGCATCTGTTACGGTGCTCTCTAGTACTTTGCACACTATGCTAGTCAGGCTCACTGGTCTATAATTATTCGTGGAGCGACGATAGCCCTTCTTGAATACAGGACTCACATAAGTCAGTTTCTAGTCATCAGGGACCTTTTGCTCCTCTAGGCATTTGCAGAACAGGATATTAAGGGGCTCCGCAAGCTCGTTACACAGTTCTCTTAACACTCTGGGGTGCACCATACCAGAGCCAGGACTCTTGTGAATCTTTAGTTTTTGCAGTTTATTTCTTATAACCTCATCTGAGAACACAATGTAGGTCAGCACTGTGTCAAACCGTCTTTCCCCAAATGCAGGAAGATTGTTTGCATCCTCTCTTGTGAACACTGATGAAAAGAATTTGTTCAATGCCTCCACCTTATCCTGGTCAGAATCTGCATTACTACCATCTTCAAGCTCCAGGTCCAATATGCCTACTAGCGTTTTTAATTTCAACTTTGCGCAGCGGTAAAAATCCTTTGGGTTTGAGTTGACCTCACTTACAAACTGCCTCTGGAACTTCTGGAACTCTGTTTTAGCCCTTCTACACTCTGACTCTACTTGGTTCCTGGATCTGGCATACATCCTCCTGTCTTGCTCATCATTTGTGCTAACCTACTCCTCAAAATCCTGAGTTTTCTTCTTAACTTTGCCAACCACCACATGGTTCTTGTGTAGCAGTCTCCTTGTATTCCTGGAGGCACCGGGTTTGATCTTGGGTATATATTTATCGACTGAATGGTTACAGTCACCCCAGGGATATGTACTGTCTGTTCTATCATTAAACTATGTTCTTAGCTGGTGGAGATGTGGGGGAGGAAGGAGGAGGCTGTGGGAGGTGTTTGTTGGTGGTGGTGATCAGGGGGAGGAAGAAAGAGATTGTTTGTTGGTAGCTTTCCTAGTCTGAGAAAAATCCAATGCACATATGGATGAGCTCTCAAGCTGCAGTATGAGACATTAGTGGAGGTTCTGCAGACAATGTTGCAGTTTAAGAAGTTATTAATGGACAACTTAAGAGATCTTTGAACTGATTTCACGAGATAGAAAAAGGCCATGAAAAAGACCTTCTCTAAGAATTCAGAGTTTGATTTTTAAGTTCTTCGGTGTTGTTGATACAGTACAATACTGACCTTGAGCCTGGCGAAGCGTATGCGTGTGCTCTTGCCTCTGGCCAAGGCCTGGGCCTTGACAACTGCCAATCGCAGGTTGCGGTACCGCCGACGAGTACTCCACATGCGCACCACTGCCTGAATTAAAACTGCACTGCGCTGCTGTGTCCGGTACCTGTGTAGTGTAATATAAAACACACATTAATAAACAATAATTAGAAAACCAGTTATCATTATTTTTACTCCTAATATCATTATCATCATCATACGGTGCAACTTTTAGCTGACAGAAGTATATGTATCTTTCAACCTGTGCTTTTGATTGTCCATTGTCATGCTCCATGATGGCTGGCTGACAAGCCACTATAGATGAAATTCAACTGAAGTGTAGAAGGTGTCACCAATATAATAACAACTCCATTAGTGAATAATAAAGCCAAGTTTCATGAGCTAAATCAGGAAGATAAAGTAAGTCACTAAGATTTCCGGTTCACCATTACACCCCACAACACAATCCAGTAATATATTCACATCCAGGTCTCTATTTATGGCTGGCTACAAAGAGGCAGACAGCATAAAGGAACTTGACCAAAGTTCCATCTCGTCCAGGAATCAAACCCAGGACTACAGTACTCTCTTGTAGGAAGACTACTGTACTAACTATGCAATACAGAAACTCATAGAATCTTTAACCTACCTCCTGCGTGCCAGGTAACCACGGACATGTCGCTGGAGGGTAACTACAGAGTGAGAGAGTCTCTTATAGCGCTCCTGTTCCAGAATTTGCTCTAGTGCCTCTCTCAGGAAGATCTTGGTGGTGCCCAGCTGGAAGGCGCCACGGGTGCCCCGAGACACACTGTCCAACACCACCCGGCAGATCTCCTTGGAGGGTGCTCCCTAGGAGAGACAAGTAGTGGTGAAGGTACAGTAAAAATTTTGGCTCATGATGGTGCTGTATGTTTATTATAGTGTTAGTGATATACCACTGTCTTCTTATCACTGGAAGAATGGTGACAGAAACCATACATCATAGTAGAAGGAGGTGCACTCTGTGTTAAGAGTTCCACAGAGCAGATCTTCAAAGTATGAATGAATTGTATTGTAGTATGCAGAGGTGTGTACAGTACAGTAGTAATTTCAGTATATGCACCCCCAAGAAACCCTGCTGGATTGAGTTGGTATGAAGGATTATGAGAAATAATGCAAAGCTGCACCAAATATCTGGAGAAAACCGTAAACAAAGAGAAGCCTCCACAGAACTGAAAGGATGGAAAGTTATGATATCTTCCCCAGGTAAATTTTCCAAGTGCATGTGGATTTTATAGATGGTATGCAAAGGTTATGCAGGAATGTAATGTCTGGACCTATTAAGGCTCCAGAGAATGTTACGAGAGATGATACAGGACACCTGCTTCTACTGCCGGGTACAGTATTATGTTTGTGCTTTTAAGGAGGTGGAGCATACAGTACTATCTCATAACTGGATCTCTTCTTTGATACATGAATTAGGTATGAATTTAGTTATTTAGTGCAGTATGGTTCAGTTCAATTTAAATTAACTTTGGAGTGTGTAGTCAGCAGTGTGGGAATGAATAAGGCCTGGTTGAGTGTGGCAGAGAGAAGATTGTTAACATAAATAAGTAATATTGTAAGTGCCAGTATGTACCCCAAAAATATGCAATAATTTGTAGGTAAAAAGCCAGAGTGAAGCTCATGAAACAATGACCACATACTCTGAGAAGAATGGAGAGATGAACACAAAGAGAGGAATAGAGAAAGAATAAAAGAAGATAAGAAGAGGTTGATGTTTACACTTATTCAATGTTAAAGAATTTCTCTCCATTGTTTATCTTTTGTCATGTTTCTCCCTTCAGGTGATAAAAGAAGGTTCAACAGTAGAGTGGCCAGAGTGGAGGCTATAAGGTAAGTCATGGATGAGTCTGTTATTTAAAAGAAGTTTGATGATTTGTGTCAAAAATCTCTATAAAAGCAAAGTTTGATGAAAATGCTCATAATTAGGAGGATTAGAAAGTTGTTCCTTTTAGGGATTGGATGGATAATGGTTTATTACCATGAGAAGGAGAGTATAGAAGTGTGAAGACATTAACAGAAATTTCCGACAGACCAGGTGTTAGTTCAAAACATCTTTTAAGGATCACAGAAGGAATCTTATCAAGACTTGGAGCTTTGTCACCTTTGAGATCATCATGGAGGGACTTAACATCCTTGAGCCTTGGTTTAGATTGTTGGGTCACAGATTAAAGAAACTTCCAAGTCAAGATGAAGGTTCCCTTGGCCATTGTCTTAATAAGTAGAATTAAAAGTATGAAATAAAGATCAAGCATTCTCCCAGTAACTGAAATTATGGATATAATAGGTGAGACTAAAGACAGTAAGGAGAGAATCTATTAATATGAACCAGTCCAAAATATTACTGATTAGTTACTTACTAGTTTTTTTGCTTGTTTATTAAGAAAGTACAGGTATACAATAATTGCATGGTTTTGTGCATGTGTATAAAAATTATGTGTTTGTCGAGTCTTTGCAGCACGACATTTTCTGAAGAATATTACAACATGTTCAAGGCAACTACACATCAGGAATAAAAGCTATAAGTTGTAGTAAATGTTTAATAAAATGTTCCTGTGGGTGGATATGTTGAGTTGTACCCACCTTGACTAGAGAGACATGGTTAACACTAGTAGAGGAATCATCAGAAAGGAAGGTGGACCAGAGGAAAGAGGAGTCGAAGGCACGAGGACTCTCCCCGTCAGCCTGGTTAAAGCACCATATTGTCACCACAACAACAAGCTTCTCAGATATATAACACTTTAACAACAACCATTTCCCGGCATATTAACGTATTTTAACTTGAAATTAAATTTCTGAACAAAAGATATTTATAAACACAACAAACAGGTAATAAATGTATTTTAGGTTCGTTGTTGATGGAGGTACAGTTGCCAGCAAAAGTTCTCCCACAGCCCTGTGTAGCAAATTTGTGGGAGGACTTTTGCTGGCAACTGTACCTTAACCATATCCCTTAATATCTGTATAAATTTTCTAACTACTGAATCCTTTTTCAGGTACAGAACTAATTGTGATTATATTACATAAACACAGAGTGATGACTGAGGTACTTACTCTGGGAACCTGTCCTGGGACAAGACAGCGGTACCGGTCAGCAAAGTGGTTGAAGCGTAAGCGCACTGGGAAGCCCTGCTGGCGGATCTTGATGGTCTCCAGCATACCTGAGTACCTCAGCTGTTCCAGCACACAAGGCATGTCCAACTTGAGCGGTGCCTTCTCATTATTAGGCTTAATACACCGTATGAACCATGGATTACATCTGTGGGAGGACCCTGGGGTTAGTGTCACCTGAGGAGGGAGGGAGGGAAGGAGGGAGGATTACACTATAGAGGAAACCTGGTGTTACTGTCACCTAGGGGGGGGCGGGAGAGGATTACACTTACAGAAGGAATCTGGTATGAGTGTCACCTGAGGGAGGGAGGTAGGGAGGATTACACATACAGAAGGAATCTGGTATTAGTGTCACCTAGGGGAGAAAGGGAGGGAGGGAAGATTACACATGCAGAAAGAACTTGGTGTTAGTGTCACCTGAGGGAGGATTACACATACAGAAGGAATCTGGTATTAGTGTCACCAAGGGGGGCGAGGGAGGGAGGATTACACATATACGTAGAAGGAACTTTGTGTAGTGTCACCTGAAGGAGGGAGGGAGGAGGAGGGTACACCCGCAGGGGGAATGGTATAGTGTAATAAGTCACAATATCAAGGTCTAAGATGTTTCAGGCTACGATGCAGACATTCGAAGATAGAATCAAGAAAACTGTTGACAATAATTATGAACAAAATCCAGGTCAAAGTTATTTTTGTATAATAGTAAAATCAAAATCTTTCAGAATAACATTACAAAATTCCACAACATAATGATGATATACTGTACTTAGAAGGAACAAGATATTTCAATTAAAATAACAATATCCCCAGGCTAGGTGAAGACAGTGAAGCATATGCAGGTATTTAAAAAAAAGACAAAGGATATGCTAGAATAATACAGATATATTCTGGCCGAGACAAAATAAAATACAGGAGTTATGTACAATAATCCGGAATCAAATGAAGACACTCCCTGGCAAGAGTAAGGCACAGATGGTCAGAAAGAGAAAGGTACAAGTCACTCACTTGGCCATGCCCTCCATGAGGTGGGTCAGGGAGTCATTGAAGCGGGCAGCCACAGTGGGCGTCCTGGGCTTCATGGTGACAAAGCGGCCATTAGCCTTCGTGAGTGTCTTGTTCTCCGACGACAATCGCACATCCAAGAACATCTCTGACAGCATCTGTAGCAAGAATCACCAAGACCAACACCTTCAGTAGGAACAACTGGTGAAGTGATAAGAGTGTAAGAGCAATAAATGAGGGTAAATGATCATGTTATGTCTGCCTGTAGAAGTTGCAATTTAATATATAGAAATAGAAAAAAGCTGAAAACATGAAAGAAAGAAGGAAAGGAGTAATAATAAAAATTACATAGGTATCATAATGATTATTCTTGTGACAGATAAAACATAGTTTTGCCCAAGAGTACACAATTATGGTAAACACATTATAAGAGACTTAAGTTATTTAAACAATTTAATGAAGAAAGAATTATTACTGAGATCACAAAGCGATCCCCTGTACAGGCGCATCACAAACAGATCGTCTAAACCAACATCAAAACCACTGTACATATCTGACTTCTATAAAGATCAGAACTAAAAAACAGAATGTGCACAGAAAGGAGTCGGTCTTGACTTAAAATTCAACTTTAACATAAATTACATCGGATGATTCGAAGCAACACTGTGAAGTCTCACGCCCGTATTATTAAACAACATCTTCCCTTGAAGAGGGTAGTCGTGTTTCAACCCAAGTTTTAAACTAAATGAGTCCTGAGGGACACCACAGTACAGTATTTAATGGGGTGGTGTGGCGGTAAAATTAACTAATTCCAATAAAATTAATTTGTAATATTGGAATTAGTTAATTTTACCGCCACACCACCCCGTTAAGTACTGTATTGCGGTGTCCCTCAGGACTCATTTAGTTTAAAACTCGGATTGAAACACGACTACCCTCTTCAAGGGAAGATGTTGTTTAATAATATGGGCGTATGAGTCTGCCAACTACATGTACAGTATGATATAACCCAGCAAATCAAGTCCAATGACAGCACAATACAAATTCATAACAGTGTTGTTTGTTGAAGTACACTGTAAGAGGCAGCTCAAAACACATGACAAGGGGGACACAAGATGACTCACGGACAACTTGGAGGAGATGAGGAGCTCGACAACATCATTCCTGAGTGTGTCTCTGTTTTTATCGAGGAAGCCTTCTACACTGTACCACACCTGCCCTGCGTAGTGCTTGATCCCAAACTCCATGGATGACATTCTGGGTCTGCAACACACGATGGAAGAAGATTAACATGATGTGCAGGAAGAAGGGATGAAAGGAAGGGTGATGAAAATAAATATGGGATTATGAAAAAAGTACTGTGAACACTAAATGAAAAGAATACAATTTAATAATAACAATATAAACTATTTCATGTTTAATATATGAAGCCAGTAAATAATATTAAAAAAAAATTATTTGTACTGTACCATATGTAGATTCTAAAGGCAAGGTTAAATTTGACTCTTGTAAGCTAGGTGTAGTACACAGCCTCACCTAGAGTAGAGTTCATTGAGGGCATGGTTGTAGTGACACTTTTCAAGGAATGAATGATCAGTGGCCTTGGGGAAGTTACTCTCATCATCCAGCAGGTGAAGAATCCCCACAGGCTTGCGGGCCACCAGCTCAATCAAAGGCAGGTTGTCCTACACAAAAGTACAAGAAGTCATTGTGAGAAGGGAAGTATACTACTGTATGTAGTGTCAGTGAGTGTGGACAAGAAGAATAGGAAATATGTACAGTAATATTAGTGTTAAGTGGAGATAGGAGGAGGACATGGTAGAGGAGCAGCTGTAGGTGATGTGGGGTGTGTGGAGGAAAACTAACCATCACCAAGTACAGTACGCACTCAGCAGTGTTGTGTATCATAAGTTTTTGAAGTTGTATCACAATCTTATATTTTCTTTCGAAATTTTCCTTTCACATGAGCTGCTGATCCTCACTCTGGGGGAGGTGTATTAACTAAAACTTTTAAGTCAATATTATATAAATTGCAATAAGTAAAATTCTTATTAACAGTACGAGTACAGTATACTATACTGTATACTGTATCCAACTTCAAGGAGAAACTAAAACAATACAAGTTTTTTGTTATTTAAAATCTGTGCTGTAATACAATGTGTCAACTATGATGACTTTAGTATTTCTTCAAATAATAACAACTGAAAATCAAGTTGTGATGATGAACCTTTATATCTATACCTTGTACATGTACTTAACTTTTGATAAGTTCTGGGTACAGTATTTCCTGCTCTGTTGTATCTAACGTTCCAAATTCTGTTGCTTAGCAATACTATACCTGGAAGGTCTGTTCCTTTACACCAACTTACCTGGAACTCAATGTTTTGCCAGTCAATTTTTTCCTTTGCATATTCCTGCTGCTCCAGCTTGAAGATATGTTTGTTGAAGTGGAACTGCAGTTTCTCGTTGGCGTAGTTGATACACAGCTGCTCGAAGCTGTTTTCCTGTATGGCGAGATAAGAGTCACTAGCTTGATTATTATAGTTATGAGTTAGTGTAACCAGCCTCCATTAAGAACAATGATGAGAACACTGTTACAGTGCTCACTCTCATTCCTAGTATGAGTATACTGTAATATCTCCCCTCCACAGTCTCCACCCACTGATAAGTTTCTGTTTTCTTCTAACCCCAACAATAGTGAAACACTACTGGATAGAAGAGCAATGAGAACGAGACATATTTCAATATAAACCCACAGAGTTACCTAATTATAACCTCTATACAGTAGTAGTATGCACCTGAGATATAATGTAATACAATGTATACAATGAGGTGAAATTCTCGAAAAAAGGAGTTCAAGGTCATGAGCATGCAACTGAGACATACAAAGCTGACATATAAAATGAAGTGCATTGATTGCCAGTAAATTTAAATTATAAATGCAAGATTTAATACTGCATGATATTTACAGAGTAAAATAGAACATTACAAACAATAATAATTGCAAGAAGTTAATAAACATAAATTCCCAGTGGGGATTTTATAAGGAAAGTAATGTTGGTAAGTAGTACTCCTGATAAATGAAGGAAATTTAGCCCTGATTCAAACATGAGAAACACAGTTTATGAAATGCTGTCTCATGACTCAAGGCTCTGACACCACAGCCACGAGGACCCACCTTGAAAATCTCAAAGCCAAAGATGTCGAGGATGGAGATGTGTGTCTTCCTGGAGCCCTTGTGGATGATCTGGTTGATACGACGCACCAGCCACGAAAAGAGGGATGAGTATAGTGCCTTGGCCACAGCATCACGGGCGTCTAGGGCTTGGTCGATGTTCAGTGGCGTGAACACCCTCTCGTTCCGCGCCTCCTATAGCACAGGGTAGAGATGTGTTAGCTCCTGAGGCATGGGAACATGAGGTACAGGAGAGGTGGGGAGCTACGGCACAAGGGGGGGGTGTAACAGGGGTTTAGCACAATGGCAGTGGGAGCACCATAACCCAACGCACCCCTACAGCACCTTACCACAACACATCTACAGCACCATATCCCAACACACTCCCAAAGCACCATACCCCAACACACTCTCACAGCAACACCATCTCCCCTCAACTAGTACTGTCAATCCCTGCCAAGGGATCGGTCCTAACATCCTTCCTCTATAATAGGAACACCTCTAATCGAAACATCTGTCTAAAAAGAGCCCTACTAACCTAATCTAACTTAACCTGACCTAACTTAGCTTAACCAACCTAACCTATCTTAACCATACAAGGTGTAACCTTACCTAACCTAACCTAAAAATAACTTCACTTAATTTAACCTAACCTAAACTTAGTTTAACCTAACCTTTGTGGTACAGCAGGAGGTTGAACTCACGGTGATTTTAGTGGTGAGAGCCCGTTTGATGCCCACATCGTCTATCTGAAGGAGGTGAGATGCCCACTTAATCTCCGCTTCACTGCCGATCTCTACGCCTTCCTGCCCGTGACGCAGCTGCTTGCGGTGGAAATAGACGTTGCCCAGGTGGAGGACTGGTGGGAGACAATGAATGAGTGACAAAGTAAGAAACTGAAAATAATAATGAAAGAGAGATATACAGATATTGAGTCCAACAGTGAAAAAGAGAAGATGAGGATGAGACAAGGAGAGAAACAGGCTAACAAACAGATAGAATGGTAAGCAGACAGAAAGTAGGAGAAAGAATGAGATAGAGAAAATGAGATAAAAGACAAAGATAAAGAAAAAAGGAGAGTGAGGCTGCACAATACACACCAGGTACTCCGGTAGAATATTAAAACAATAATAAAACTCCAGGCAGGAGGGGAGATACTAGGCAGATGGAGGGCTCCATCTACTGCGGGAGGGGCGGTGGCAGTATTGACTTCTCATGTGGTGCTCCTGCAAGTGTTACTATGTGGAGTAATCGACTCCCAGGTGAGGGAGTCGATTTGGCACTTTTTCAGGTTTGTCTTAAGACTATCTTTATACCTTTTCAATTACCCGCCAGCGTTACGTTTACTATTCGTTAGATGACTGTAAAGTTGCTGCTTTGGCACTTTACTGTCCTCCATGCGGGCAACATGGCCAGTCCAACGTAGTTGTTCATGGATTATGGTAGCCTCGATACTCCTACAGTTGGTGTCAGCAAGAATACTGGCATTTGTTCTCTTGTCTTCCCAGAGAACTTGGAGGATGGAACGTAGACTACGTTGGTGAAAGTTTTCAAGTGCCTTGAGGTGCCTCCTGTATGTGACCCATGTTTCACTGCCATATAGCAGGGTGGGGAGGACCACTGCTCGATATACGTGCAGCTTTGTAGATAATTTCAGCTGCCTACAGCTGAAGACACGATTTCGGAGTCTGCCAAAGGCTCGAGATGCACATCTGATCCGATGCTGAATCTCTTCACCGATGTCTGCGGTGGTGGACAGGTGGGAGCCGAGATACCGAAAGTGGGCAACATTAGAGAGGGTAGTACCGTTAAGCTGGATGGATGGTGGAGGTGTGTCTGAACCAGGGGCAGGTTGAAAGAGAATCTGAGTTTTACGTACATTCACCTCAAAGCCGAAGTGTGCACACGCGTCTGTGTAGGTGTTACACACACACACACACACACACTTCATCCTTGACCACCGAAGGGTCAAGACATACCTGGCGCTCCTCTGGGAGCAGACAGGTCAACTGTTAAGTTGGCCCATACCAACTTCCTCCCCTGAACCCCTCCTACCCATCGGAATATCAATAAGTTCTTGCCAGAAGTTATTTCATTTCGGAAAGGAATGGAACCAGTGTTGAATAGTGGTGAACAGTGCTTAAGTCAGTGAAAAACAGCTCAACGGTAACAGCTGAGTCGTACCCAAGCTAACCTTCACACAGTGATGTCCCAGGTACCCAGTGATAACTGCCCGCGAGACTCAACAACACCAGCTATGTGTTAATCCGTCCACGATAGGGAGGTCTGGGATCACACTTCACTCACTTCAGTGAGTGAGGTCCTGTGACACCAGACCATGTGGTGTCCCCATGATGCTACGACACCACGTAGTGAATGAGTTGCTACAGCATCATGTGAGGTTCCTCATAACACCATCAGTGGGGGAATTACTACACCACGTGATGCCCCTCATAACACCATCAGTGAGGGAATCACTACACCACGTGATGCCCCTCATAACACCATCTGTGAGGGAATTACTACACCAAGTGATGCCCCTCATAACACCATCAGTGAGGGAATCACTACACCACGTGATGTCCCTCATAACACCATCAGTGAGGGAATCACTACACCACGTGATGCCCCTCATAACACCATCAGTGAGGGAATCACTACACCATGTGATGCCCCTCATAACACCATCCGTGAGGGAATTACTACACCAAGTGATGCCCCTCATAACACCACCTGTGAGGGAGTTACTGCTACACCCCATCAGGTCCCTCAAAACACCAACTGTGAGGGAGTTACTACACTACGTGTCTGCTGTTCAACACCTCAATGCACATGATATAGGTATGTGACCTCCACTGTAAACATTAATCTGTGTGTTCACTGTACCTTTCTCTAATGAAGGCTTTTGTTAAACTACCAATGTCAATGCATGTAATAAGTCATTTATGTCCAATGTATATTTTCAGCCTTCGGGCTCCAGAACTTTTTCAATAAACCGTTAAAAATATCTCTCTCTCTCTCTCTCTCTCTCTCTCTCTCTCTCTCTCTCTCTCTCTCTCCTCTCTCTCTCTCTCTCTCTCTCTCTCTCCTCTCTCTCTCTCTCTCTCTCTCTCTCTCTCTCTCTCTCTCTCTCTCTCTCTCTCTCTCTCTCTCTCTCTCTCTCTCTCTCTCTCTCTCTCTCCTCTCTCTCTCTCTCTCTCTCTCTCTCTCTCTCTCTCTCTCTCTCTCTCTCTCTCTCTCTCTCTCTCTCTCTCTCTCTCTCTCTCTCTCTCTCTCTCTCTCTCTCTCTCTCTCTCTCTCTCTCTCTCTCTCTCTCTCTCTCTCTCTCTCTCTCTCTCTCTCTCTCTCTCTCTCTCTCTCTCTCTCTCTCTCTCTCTCTCTCTCTCTCTCTCTCTCTCTCTCTCTCTCTCTCTCTCTCTCTCTCTCTCTCTCTCTCTCTCTCTCCTGGATTACTGCCTCCACCTGTGAGGATGAGGACAATACTTATAACAACATACCCTCACACATCATAATAGAGTGCTTAGAAAATTATAAAGAGGGAGAAAACAAAAGAAGAAAAATAATGTATTCAGGAAAGAATATCAGATAAAATTAAGAAAGAGAGATAGAGAGAATCTGGTTAAAATCTACCAGTACAAGACAACCAGGGAAGGATGAGAGTAACATAACTAGTGGTGAGAGTAACAGAAATTAGTGAGAGATGTGAGTGTCAGAGTGGTGGTGAAGACGTACCTGCAGCAAGGATCCTGAAGATGGTGTCCTGTTCCTGAGTAGAGAAGCCAAGTACCTGCATGGCGGAGAGGAGGGCCTGCAGGTCTTCCCCATCATACTTCCCCTCCAGCTGACAACTCCCGCCCTGAAACACGATATATTTATTATTATTATTTTTGTTTTATTCCTACTGGTGCTGAGGATAGTCTTTTTCTCTCACTACTGATGTTGGATCTCTCTCTCTCTCTTTTAGACTACTCATCAACACCAATATAACCCAACCCTTCTAGTCTTCTTCACTGTTGAATTTTCGACTTTTATAAATGTCAACACACCTTAAACGACTATCATTCAACTTTACATTATTTTCATATACCTGTATTACTTTCTCTGTTCTGTCAATATATTAATAAATCTAGGAATATTTCTCTAAAGTTACTACTGTGGTTCTCTGGAATATTCTCCCTTCTCACTGTCTCTTTCTTTCTCTTTTATTCCCTCTGCTTTTGTCTGTCTACCTTTATTAATCTCTAACTCCCCAGATTTTAACCTTCCATGACGATTGTTCTTCTTAAGTCCTTCTCCTTCCTTCCTCCCACCACCTATCTCTCCCTCCTCCTTGTACGCCTACCCCTTCCCTTCTCCTACTCCATTCCCTCTTCCGTTTCTTACCCCTATCCCTCTCCCTATTCTTACCCCTATCCCTCTCCCTATTCTTGCCCCTCTCCCTTCCCTACCCCTAATCCCTCCCCCTTCTACCCATATCCCTCTCTTCTCCTACCCCTATCCTTCTCCCTTCTTCTACCCCTACCCTGCTTCCTTCTCTTATTCATATCCCTCTCCTTTCTCCTACCCTTATCCCTCTCCCTTATCCCTGCTCGCACCCACCTGGTTGAGATAGAAGTACTTGTCAGCGGAAGTGAGGCCATACTTAGCCTTGCTCTCCTCAGGTAAGCCGGCCAGCAGCTCATAGAAGACATGGTAGTTCCTCTCTTCATGCGCCTGAGTCACAATGCGGGATTTCTCCAGCAGGTACTCCGTGATCCTCGCTCCTGTGATCACTCCACTGGTTGGGTGAGTGAGACAATGGAAGTGACAATACATGGGATATAGTGGCGATGGGCGAGTAATACAGAGAGTAAATCATACCTGTAGGGAACAAAGTATTATTCTGGAGGCTATGATGAGATTATACATATCATAGTCTACTAGAATGATATAAAAATATAAAAAGGCCACATGTTGATAAAAAAAAGTCTCTCCTTGTTCACTTACACAGGAAATCTCTCCCAACACCTTGATACTTGGTAATATTTCTTCTCATCCTGCCCAGGCAACACTCATTTACCTACTTCTCACCCTCCTCTACCTCTATCTGCATATCCTCCCCTCCCACACCCCCCTCCGTCCCTCAACAAACAGTCATGGACTTACTCCTTGAAGTAAACCTCGAGGTACTTCCCAAAGCGGGATGAGTTGTCATTCTTAATGGTCTTGGCATTGCCGAAGGACTCCAGGAGTGGGGAGGCCTCCAGGATCTGCTCAGTGATAAGGTTACTCTGGGACTTATTGACGGCGGCCAGGTACTGCATGATCAGCTTGGTGGACTCCGTTTTGCCCGCGCCGGACTCACCGGAGATCACTACACACTGATTTGTCGAGTCCTTGCTCATCCGGGAGTACGCTGCTGACCCGATGGCAAAGATGTGTCTGGTGGAGAATGTGGTGGTTATGCTGGGTTGTGGTTGAATTGTGCTATGTTTATGTTAGGAGAAGTTATTATTACTTGATGTTGTGGAATAAAGTAGTTAATATTACAGTAAAGAAGATCTCACGAGACCACTTATATTACTTATGTTAATGGGGACATAGGAATGAAAAATCATGAAGGAACAGCCATTATGTTAAGAGGTAGGTACTGGAGGGTCGTCTCTATTTCAATAAAAAGTTCAGTAGTAACATTTCTGCTGGGTCAATTCACACGCTTAACCATGGGTTTGCATATGCAAAAGTCACAATTGACCGATTTCTTACACTTAATCATGAGTTTATATGACGATTGAAAATGTGGCGTGGAGAATCACGCCACATACAACAGTACTGTAATAAGAGACTGTACCCTCACTTAACCCCTGGTGTTGGTAGAATGTGTTCCCATTCAACCAGTGACAACCAACCATCATGACCCCACACTACAATATGCACATTTATTTTCCCTCCAAATTGTTCAAGTTAGGTTTCAGAAGACTACGTTTACAACTGTACGAGGAATTGATACCACAAAGTGAGCATTCTAGTGTTGGACAAAACGGACTGACAAAGACTCATACCCGGCCTATGAAGAAAAATAGTTAAACGCAACATATTTTGTATAACTAAAAGTCATTAAAGAGATTGTTAACAAGTATAACAAAGGCTTCAGTACTATACAGTATTGTTACCACACCTTGGTCAGTACACAGTCAAGTCACAATGCACTTTTGTCAATAATATCAATATGCACAAAGACCAGTTCTCATGGGTCAATTTAGAAGCAGTAAGGTGTCTATGATGTAAGGTCAGAAGGGTCTCTAGGAACTAAGGTCAATACTCACGGGGGTAAGGTGCCCAGGATCTGACCCTCGTACTTCTTGACAGTGTCCAGCCCGTAGATGTCGAACATTCTGTAGGGGTTGACCGCCACCAGGATGCTGCCCGTGTATGTCTGTCGAGCACAACAAGGTTAAAAGGGCACTGGTATACACGGGTAGTGACATGCAAGAGTAGTTGAGAATTTTGCTGTAGAACTAGTTGCAAAACGGAAATAAAAGTACATGTAGTAGTAATAACGGTAATATAACTGTCGTATTGGTAGTGATAGCAGAAATAAAATAAGTTGTAAAATCAATATTGATGAGAAGAACATTGTGGCATTCCTTGAAAAAATAAAAATAAATAAAAAATAAAAGTAGTACAGTAGCATTAATAGTAGTGGCAGCAGTCAAACCTCGTCCTGGTAGTGGTAACATAACACAACTCTACGATGTATTGACTGAGGTTTTAGCCGGAAGTAGAGAGTTGTAAAAACTAGTGTATGTAAACAGTGGCAGCAGTTGTACAACCAACATTACCAACAGCTGATGACCAAACTTTACTAGAGATGGAGATTTTTGTATAATTTCTGTTCCATTAAATACTAAAACTGTGGGTACATATACAAAAGGGAATATATACAAGTACTCTCACGTTATATGAGTTTATATAAAATATTTATTATGAATGAGGATTGAATTATCAAATGAACAGTCTTGAATTAGAATTAATATTTACTTTATCTCTTTTTAACGAATTTGACTTTATTACACATAGTTATAAGAAAAAGGACATTTATCAAACACTTTAAAAATTATAGGTAGACCTTGAACTTAACTACATATAAACACAAACACACAATAAACACCTGACACAAACACAACACACAACAAACACCGGACAAACACAACAAGCAACAAACACCACACAAACACAAAAAACACTGGACACAAACACAAAAAACACTGGACACAAACACAACAAACACTAGACACAAACACACTTACGTATATCATTTCCTTGTCATATCTGATCTTGAGGTTCCACAACAGCGACGCCTCGTTCAGATCCCTGGAGAGTGTAAACATTGCAATGGCTGTAGAGTGATGAGTGCAGACAACCTAACCAAACCTAAATTTATTTCCACCAAATTTACTTAAACCAAACTAACCAAAGCAAAGCAGAGCTAGATTAACCAACTTGATCGAATTTAACCGTATCTAACTAAAACCTAACCTAACCTAACTTAACGTAAAGTAATTTAAATCAAACTAATCTAAGCAAACCAAACCTAAACTAACCAACTTGACTGAATTTAACCGCATCTAACCAAAATCTAACTAAAATAAACTTTAAATTAAATTAACCTAAAAAAAACGAAGTTAAATAAAGCAAATTGATATAATTTAACCTAACCTAACCTAACCTAACCTAACCTAACCTAACCAGGAAATGGAGGAGTACTTACGAGAGACAGATCATGTCCTCAACGCCGGTGGGTCCCAGGTCCTGACGCCGCCGGACTGACGAGAGGTTGGTGAGCGTGAACACCTGCGACTGTGAGAGAAACAAGTGAGTTAGTGAAGGTTAAATAACACCTGCGATTGTGGGAGAAACAGATTATTTGGAAGAACAGTAAAGAGTTAATGTTAGTACAGAAGGTTCCATCACTTCTCGTTAATAGGAAGCGGTGTTTACACTTGCGACTGTTGGAGAAACAGGTGTGTTAGTGAAGGTTAAATAACACCTGCGATTGTGGGAGAAACAGGTGTGTTGGTGAAGGTTAAATAACACCTGCGACTGTGAGAGAAACAGGTGTTTTAGTGAATATCAACTAAGAAACAGGTGTACTTAGGTTAAAGAAAAAATATAAGTTTTCCTCGGAGTTAAAAATGAAATGTGGCATTAAATCAAAATAAACTGCAACATATAAAAGATTAAACTAAAAATGAAGGAAATAAAACAAATCGCAAAGAAAACATGAAACGAAGGAAGGTAAAAAATACAAAATAAAATAAAAATAAACAAAGACAAGTGATGACACAGGTGTAATGTGAAGAGAAAATAATATAAGCTCATAAAGTGTGACGGCAAAACCTAGCTTAATAAAAGAGAAAGATGAAGAAATAGAATAAATCGGAAAGCAAAGAGTTGGGTTAAAAACATTACAAATAAAAATATCATACGACAAAGTGAAATTCCTCTCAAGTTAACACAAACAAAGTCAAAGTAAAGGTGAAGAAAGAATAAATAACAAAAATTACAAAAATAAACGAGGAATGAAACAATGATAGTGAGTTAAAAAAAAGTATATAAAACGAAGACATGTATAGTGTAGATAAAAATTCCTGCACTTAGTTTACGTTATTTATACTGTAATGTTTTTCCTGCGCTTCAACAACTAAAAGGTTTTACGCGCGTAACAAGATAAGTAATTACTGTACACTAATCCATCAACAATAAGAAATTACGAAACTTAGAACTCTCGGTTGTATTAAGCAAATGTAGTCAATGAAAGTATGAAGAAATGATAAAGAACAATGATAAAGGAGAGACAAAAGAGAGAAACGATGATGTATTGTACAAGAGCTGTGAGGGAGATAGACGCCTCCAAACTCACATTAAAACATGTTGAACGTAAAGCTTTTCAAGGTATGAATAAAATGATAGAAGTAGTACATATCTAATTAACATGAAAAAAAAATAATGTAAATGGGATGAAATAAAGAGCTCAATTAGCTAGAAGCTTCGGCAGTAGGTGAACGTAATGTAGGAAGGCAATGTTACTGAAAGTGGGAGTGTTGCCGAAAGAGGTGGAGATTATAAGGTGTTGGTGTAAGAAGAATGAACATCAGTACAGGAAGCGAAGAAAACTAAAGTATTAACTGGAGTACACGAAAAAGGTAAGGTATAGGTAGGCGTGTAAGATACAGGTAGGGGTGTAGGATACAGGTAGGGGTGTAGGATACAGGTAGGGGTGTAGGATACAGGTAGGGGTGTAGGATACAGGTAGGGGTGTAGGATACAGGTAGGAGTAGGATACAAGTAGGGGTGTGGGGTACAGGTAGGAGTAAGATATAGATAGGAGTGTAGGATACAGGTAGGAGTAGGATACAGGTAGGGGTGTAGGATACAGGTAGGGGTGTAGAATATAGTCACTTCGTCGTCGTCGTCTCTCTCACAACCCCATAGATTATAACAATCTTGAGTCTAGACTGTAAACACAGCTCTGTAAACTATATCACAACCCCTAGGGCTATCACTGGCCTCCTACACTGTTGGCAGTAGTGTATATAAGTGATGTTGGCAGTATGGTATAAGTGATGTGGCAATAGACTATAAGTGATGTTGGCAGTAGAATATAAGTGATGTGGCAGTAGAATATAAGTGATGTGGCAATAGACTATAAGTGATGTGGCAATAGACTGTAAGTGATGTTGGCAGTAGAATATAAGTGATGTGGCAATAGACTATAAGTGATGTTGGCAGTAGTGTATAAGTGATGTTGGCAGGAGTGTATAAGTGATGTTGGCAGGAGTGTATAAGTGATGTTGGCAGTCGAGTGTATGGGTGGTGTTGGTTATTTCTCAAGCTACTGAGGTCGATTCAATTGAAGGTAACGAAACAGTTGAACATAGGGTGTACGGAGGTGTGCGTGGTGGGGTGAATGAAAGGAATGATTAGGGGTGGTGTGGCAGGTTGGATTGGTCTGACTACCCACCAAAATTACTATAACCTGTCCACGCTAAGCTGACCCATAGGCCCCGCGCCCTTCGTCTATAGCTACAAATAACCGATTAGTTCCCCTGTAGTTTACCTCCCCGACTGCGTGTATATAAGCGCGTATTTATATCGCCCTTTTATAATAAATACTTAACATTTTCTAACATCCTCTTTACAGTGCTAATGCCTTGAAATTAATTGCATTTTTATAGTCCTGATATTTAACATTATTTTAGATACTAACAGGTCTGTTTACCAATTGTGAACACATTTAGTTTGAATTTTCTATGAACCAATCAGCTAATAGTATAGAAGAGGGGCGTGGCTTATGGGCCAGGTTAGCGTAGAAATACTAGAGTTGTATCCAGGGCCGTCCCTAGGAGGGTGTGGGGCCCGGGACAACTCAGCCACTGTGGGGCCCCACAAAACTCAAAAGGCAGGAGTCACAGCTCATAGGACAGGACGCAACCTGATCTCACTGGTTACTGACCCTGGTGGACTGGCTGTGTGGAGTGGAGTGCAATGGATTATGGAGTCAGATTATGCGGTCAGGGGAACCCACCCCCACCAACCCCCATGGGACTGTCGCTATGGATGGTAAGGTCACGGTTGCGATAGTGGCGTAAGCCGTCAGGTCAGATTAACCGGTCAACAGGTAATGTGTCCGAGGTCACTGGGTCTAGTGCTGGGCCCCGCTGGTGTGGCAGAAGTAAGAACTACAGGTACAGTACATTATAGGGTGTGGCAGAAGTAAGAACTACAGGTACAGTACATTATAGGGTGTGGCAGAAGTAAGAACTACAGGTACAGTACATTATAGGGTGTGGCTGATGGTGTGGCAGAAGTAAGAACTACAGGTACAGTACATTATAGGGTGAGAACTACAGGTATAATAATTATAAGGGCTGGCTGATGGTGTGGCAGTAGTAAGAACTACAGGTATAGTACATTATAAGGTGTGGCAGTAGTAAGAACTACAAGCACAGTACATTATAAGGTGTAGCTGATAGTGTGGCAGAAGAACTACAGGTACAGTACATTATAGGGTGTGGCTGATGGTGAGGCAGAAGTAAGAACTACAGGTAGTAGAGTACATTTTAGGGTGTGGCTGCTGATGTGGCATTAGAGAAGCTGTCAGTGGTGAGGAACAGTGTGGAGGTGATAAATTGTTTATAATTGACTCCATAATAAACAGAAAATTTAGGTGAAGTGATGGGTCTTAGCGCCAGCGTGGGAGACTATTAAATATTGGTGAGAGTTTGTATGAAGATAGTGGAAGTGTGGGAGCAAACGCTAATACTAGTACGTGGAGTAAGACATGTGAGAGCGTTAGGAGTGTGTTATGGCCAGAGTGTACTGTTTAGTAGAGGTCCAGGACGTGAGGCGAGAGTGAGACTGGTGGTTGTGGTGACGCTACATCACGATGGCGCACCGTGAAAGTTTTCACGCTTTTTTGGGTGTGAACCAGGTCGTTATCTTACCAGAGTTACAGACTTAATGAGGTAGACCAACGGTGATTGTGGTTACATATAAATGAGGAGAAATTGAAAGTGACAGCAAGAAAGACAAGATCGTCGTGTCTAAGAAAGATAAAGTGTGATTTTTATCGTACGTTAGTTTAAATAAAAATGCAGTAAAATCTGCACATGAATTCCACATCTGAGATATATCGTGCCAAAGACTGGCATTGAGAATTGAGAAGTGCAGTCACAGCCGAATTACGTTTGTAAGAAGCTGGAGGTTCCGGAGAGGTTTGGTGAATGGGAAAATGTGTATACAATGCATAAGAACTCTACTTGCAGTAGCACTTCTTTTGCCTTCTCTGTATATAAAATGATTTATAAGTTCCAAGGAAGATATAAAAACGACATCACCAGAAAATAAGAGCCCTTTCCAGTTTTATAGGAACGAAAATAAATATGAGAATGCGGTCAATAATATAATATAAAGTGCGCGTATGGAGGAGACGCGTGTATGCAAGTCTACTGAGTTAAAAGTAAAATATTTAATTTTATAATCTTCCATTTTTTTTAATATGTCACTTTGTCTTTAATCTGCATTACTATGTAACTACGATATTCATTAATACTACATATTACTAGTAGCAACAAGTGAAAATTAATGACACGAAGTTTTATCTAAAAAACACTAAATAAGTAATATATGTTATTATAGCCTATATTGGACACTGGCAGCAGCTATGGTCTCTGAAAAGGCCACGGCTTGATGTTTATTATAACTGCTTAGACCAACTTCATTTTAACTTGGCTTTGTTTAGTCATCTTTTTTTTTCACTGAACATGCCAAAACACAAACACTATCTCTTCCTCTGCTATTTTAATCTGCTCTTTTAAAATCTGAGAGCGAAATCAGCTGCTTGCGCAAACTTGCCTAAATTGTGTGGAGGGAAAACGTAGAGTTCAGGTTGTTTGCGCAAAATTTGTTTGTGCAGACTACAATAAATAAGGTTTAACAGTGTGTACCAAGCTTTAGGTGCATATTGCTAACAGAATGCCAGGGTACTGTACAGCTGGACACACACACACCACTGACACCAGGCAAGAACTCTGGACGAAAGTGGAAGATCAAGTGGCAGACTCGGTGATGAATTTTCTAAACAAGATTGTTGAAGTTCACAGACGGGTGAAAGTCTTGAGATTTATTGCGTTAGATTCATCGTGACTTGATGCTACAGGGAATCATATATTGTCTTTGCAGTTTTCAATATATTTTTCTACTTATACATTTATCTGATTTTATATACGTTCATAAGTTTATTACATTACCCATTTTATTTTTCAGCGTTTTACTCATGATTATTGAACTTGAATATTGACTTATTAACTTATTAATCTATTCTATCTTATAATTTTACTTCGTTTATATATTTTCATCACCGTCCGCATACTGTAAGTGACCTAGTAAAGCTGGATGTACAGTACATAGACTTATAAATATGAAAATAGATAGATAGATAGATAGATAGATAGATAGATAGATAGATAGATAGATAAGACACAAACCGATAGATAAAGAGATCATTAGACAGTTCATGTTACAAAGAACTAAATAAAAAGAACGATTTAGAAAGAAAAATATAGAAATAAAAATACAGTAGTTAAATCTATCTATATAAAACAAAGAAGTATGTCTGTTTGTGTGATGATGGATGATGTTATATGTAGTGATGATGGATGGTGTTATATGTAGTGATGATGGATGGTGTTATGTGTAGTGATGATGGATGGTGTTATATGTAGTGATGATGGATGGTGTTATATGTGGTGATGATGGATGGTGTTATGTGTAGTGATGATGGATGGTGTTATATGTAGTGATGATGGATGGTGTTATATGTAGTGATGATGGATGGTGTTATATGTAGTGATGATGGATGGTGTTATATGTAGTGATGATGGATGGTGTTATATGTAGTGATGATGGATGGTGTTATATGTAGTGATGATGGATGTTATATGTAGTGATGATGGGTGGTGTTATATGTAGTGATGATGGATGGTTTTATATGTAGTGATGATGGATGGTGATATATGTAGTGATGATTAGACAATAAAATAATAACAGTGTAATGCTAAAAAATATACTTTGCTGTACCGTTGTAGTGAAAAACATGGTGGAACTTACATTCACCGTTAATGAACTATTGATGGAAGAAGAAGTTTTGGGGACTGAACAGTGAGACAATGTGGAGCCTCCTGGGGGGTGGCGTCCTACTGTGGCCTAGTGAATGAGCCACCCGGAGGGCGGCGATTCTGCTATATATATATATATATATATATATATATATATATATATATATATATATATATATATATATATATATATATATATATATATATATATATATGTGTGTGTGTGTGTGTGTGTGTGTGTGTGTGTAGTTAGATGGATAACCATATAAAAGAAGATTACTGATTGAGAGAGAAAAAGAGAGTGAATAAATTCGACAGGAGTGGGAAATTACGGCTACCTGTCATCTCGAGTCACACCGTGAGAACATTACAAGGCATGACTCACTTAACCGTACCTGGACGTGTAAACAGAAGGGGTTGTAAAACGTGTCCATGTACAGCACAGCACGTGTTAGTGGCCACACACACACACACACACACACACACACACACACACACACACACACACACACACACACACACACACACACAGGGTGCCGCTACTTGTTGATGTTTATTGTCGGATAGTGTGGCAGTGACGCAGACAAAAGTACTGTATGAGTATAAAGATCATGTGAGGATTAGCTTCCCTCTCCCAGAGTATTTAATCTGATGGCTAAACACACAAACGCTACTTGGAAGGGGTTGTTTGGTTAGGTTGCATTAGGTTAGGTTAAAATAGTTTGTTAAGTTAGGTTAGGTTAGGTTATAGTTTGGTTTGGTTAAATTAGGTTAGGTTAGGTTAGGTTAGGTTAGCTTAGGTTAGCGTTAGGGTGGTTAATATTTAGGTGAAATAAGCTGTGGCTAATCTTCACGTGATTCAAACTTAAATATAAATTGTGATTCCAAGATAAAGATTTGTCGAGAGGTAAGGACTGTGGCCGCCCAGGATGGGGTGGTGATTACCATTACAGGGAAAGGCAGAGCGAGAGAAAGAATGAGAGAATAAAACAAGAGTAATTATAAGAAAGAGAGAGAAAGACTGAGGAAAGTAGATAAAGTGTATTTCTAGTAGCAAAAATTAACTCAAATAAATTACCAGTCAGAGAGAGAGAGTAAATTGTAAACTGCGTCTACAGGTGAAGTGATCATAATGATCAGGTGTGCCAAGAGAATCCCTAAGATGACCCTGTTGAGGTGAGGCACCGTCAACAAAAGTCACCTACCTTGCCTCCTATGACAGCTTGGACAGTGATGACTTGACCTGCTCTGTGGAACTCCATGACCTCGCCGGGCAGGACGTAGCCCAGCCCGGGGTCAAACCACACCAGGTCGCCCTGTAACAATAACAATAACATTAAGTTTTATAGTATTTTAAAATGCGTAATAACTGACAGAAAAGGGGAAAGAAAACACACACACACACACACACACAAGTGTGCAGGTTGTTTCTCAGATGAAACGTTGGTAACCTAACCTATGTCTGTTTACGTCAGTTCGAGTTTTATTTGTTATTACTCTGTATCCATATGTCAAATTTCCCACCAAAACCTAAAATGATGTCTACTAACTTCCACAGTTCGAGAGCAGCGGCTGGATCCTACAGGAAGTCATTATTTACGTTGTTCCGGGTGAACATCGTGTACACTTAACAATACAGGTACCAACTTAGTTTTGCCATAAATCAAGAGTAAAGGGTTTCTGGACAAAGTGGCGTAATGTGTCGTGTCTTTGCTAATATACATGACTCAACAAGATATCTTGGTTATACTTAGAAGACAACCTCTTAAAGCGCCAGCCGCTCTAGTAATTTACTATAATATTTAGGTTATAAGTAAACACAATCTTCTCACCAGGGATACGCAATGGAGATGTACGCAGTTTATGTATTTACTGTACAAAACATTACAGTTCCCACATAATGAGTCGAGAATAGTTCTAACAAAATATAATATGTCTTTTGAGACATGCCTCCATCTCTTACCACGCAACTAAAGACATATTTTAATATTTATTTATCCATATTATACCAGGCATAACTAGCTGACATACATGTTAACATTGACCGTCATGTGTTCGTCCGCAGGTCCAGTACTGTGTTAAGAGAAAGAGCCAGTGTGAGGAATGTTGGTACAGACACATTATATTATTGTAATAATCGTACATTATTTACAAAATCCACGACTCTGTAGGAAAAGCAGTGCGCCATGTTACTCTTACATTTTGCTAATGGAACTCCTCGCTTTGCTAATTATATTCTGAGGTTTGCAAACACCTGTTCGAGAATCACCTGTTCCAATGATTCAGTGGGATATTTAGGTCATACTTTCAGCTTCAGCTGCTCCAATTACACATCGGCCTGACGACTGGGGAGCAGCCCACGCGGCCATAACAACAAGGCGGCCACCACGCAAGGCTACCAGGATCTATAACAAGGAGGCGGGACAGTCTTGCCAGCGGTACGCGTAAGTGGATTCTTCAACCACCATCTATCTCTACCATCCACATCATAATTCACTATCACCACCGGCGGCCCACCTGCGGGAAACAGGTGCGGTTGTGGCCCCTCAAGAATGTGGTGGCCTGCGGTGGATAAACAGGAGCTAAGGAACCATGTGTTGGGGCTCGTGCTGCTGCTGCTGCTGTGGTCGTGTGTGTGGAAAATACCTGTCTTTTCCCCCTTACACAGGATGGTCGAAAACATGAACACAAACACACACACGTAATAATTACCTTCATTCATTGGCATTTATTAATTCTTGTTGCTTCAATATATGTGCTCTGTTTTGGTTTTCTCCTTCCACACACAAGATACTAAATCCGGTTTACCTCAGTCGTGTCACACAAGTAAGCATTACCCATCAGCAGCACCTTCCCTAAATATCACTCAGTAGCTTCCATGCTGCTCTGCATTTGTTCACGCACACTGCTGCTCCCTGGATGCCCCTTCCGCTCACTTCTCTGACTACCCCATCTATGAAAGTATTAACAATGAGGAGGTTATTACACATCTTTGAGAACCAACTTCCTTTTCCTGGCAAAGCCTAATAAATGCTTCTCCCTCCCACATCACTTTCCTTTCTATTCTATCATCTAGTTTTTCCTCCACCAGTTTAGGTTAGGCCAGTTCTTTGTGCCGTAGACGCAGTACCCCAGCCTCACCCGCCGGGGCTCAAATTTCAAACCCTGCCCGTTGAGGTTGCACAAATTTCTATCAGATGTACTCAGTGTTGGCCAGTGAGCTGGGTAGAACGTAGCTACAAGGTTGCTTGTGCTAATCCTTGCCCATACGTGAGCCGTTGTGCCTATTGACAAGTCGAATGAGCCTAAAGTAGCAGTCCTGCCCCTCACGCTGAACGGCTGAGGGTCAAGATTTAAACCTTACTGGTAGAGGTTGTGTAATAATAATTATATATATATATATATATATATATATATATATATATATATATATATATATATATATATATATATATATATATATATAAAAACTGTACCCCTGACCTGATACTGTTTAGCGTAATGCTACACCATTTAACTTAGCGAGGTGTACTGTGTATGGCCACACACTGTACCGTTGGACAGGATTTCAAGCAAAATATAGTCCATCACTTCTCAGAAGTAATCCTGTTTTATTTTTTAATTCAAAAGAAGGCGTTAAACTTTAAATGTGTTCAGTTAAATATTTCTTACGAGTAATACGAGTGAATTGATTGCTTATTATAATAAGCAATCAATTCACTGGGTGTGTTTGTATCTTTTACAAAGCTGCTGCAGTTCTTTGACAAGCTCTGGAGACAGCTGGCAGCAGCTCGAGTAACACAAGTTGTAATAACATGTACTCTTCATAAATATATTTATATGGTATAGTTGTTATATCTTTAAATAATTCAAAATTATAGGAGCAAAAATTTGTTGTTGTTGCTGCACAAAACTTAAGTAATTTTAACACGAATTCCAGCAGGAGTAATAACAAAACACACACACACACACACACACACACACACACACACACACACACACAGGAGGAAGGAAGAGAGAGGAAGCAAACACATCCGTTCTCCCACACACGGTGACCCCGTGTACCTGTACCACTAATTGTCTCTACCTGATATCCGCGTACTCGTCTCACCCGGAACACTTCTGCCTCATCCACATTATTCTCAGATCCAATTACCTGTCTGATATCCACATCACTGCCAAGTGTCCAAATTTCTAACTTATATCCAGTTCCGCCTTCTATCCACATCTCCTCATATCCACACTGCTGCTGCCCTTCGTCCATAAATCTGCCTTATATCTGGTTCTTTCTCACAAAAGCGCCAACACTCACACTAAAGTCACATTCTTGGGGGTGTGTTTATGATATTGGAACTTGTTACCATGATAAAAACACACTTTGTTGTGATATATTACGTGTGAGTCTATGATGTAGAAAGAAAAGTTCGTTTCCTTTGTGTGTGTGTGTGTGTGTGTGTGTGTGTGTGTGTGTGTGTGTGTGTGTGTGTGTGTGTGTTACAATTTCAATAGCATATGTGCAAATTTAATAGATAAAAAAAACTTACTGACAAAACACAAATAGTTATTGCATGAAGGTCACTTGGCCCCCAATAAGAATTAGGAACTATCAGGACTGTCCCTTGACCTTAATGGAGAAGTTATGGTCATTTACATCTTATTAGGACTGGGGCTCGTTTAACTAGTCACTCTAAAGTAAGTTTTGTAATGGTACTTTTCTTGTGCTGAAATGTACGCGTGTCTTACATAATACAAAGTGTACTGTACCTGGTATACAAGTGGTGGTCTAACGAACAGTGGGTTAGGTTAGGTTAGGTTAGGTTAGGCGTTATCGTGCTATGCTGGTGATCTCCAGAGCAGTAGGTTACTCCATAACCTTAGGCGAGGATGCAAGATCACCTCGGGTTGTTCCGCCATCGGCAAGCGCGACAGTTAGTGTTCCCGTTTATTGCCCAGTGTACCAGGAGGGAACCCAAGCCTCTGTGTGTGTGTGTGTGTGTGTGTGTGTGTGTCCTTCTCTATACAAACCAACATCCCAAGTGGTCACAGTAAGGTGGAGGACACAAACACACGTCAGCCTCTCCACCACATCTCATTCACACAGGGACTCACATTATTTTAGAGATTAACAAAGTAACAGTTCATGACAGGGCGGAAAATCACCTTAAGTGTTTAACGAGCATATAGAGACAACTGTTACTTTACGACATAATGACCAACCCTTTGATGTCTTATTTGTTATTTTTACGCGCTAGTTTTTTTTCTTAACGTTCAAGTGTGTATGTCTGTGTGTGTGTGTGTGTGTGTGTGTGTGTGTGTGTGTGTGTGTGTGTGTGTGTGTGTGTGTGTGTGTGTGTGTGTGTGTGTGTGTGTGTGTGTGTGTGTGTGTGTGTGTGTGTGTGTGTGTGTTCTAGGTGGAGAAGAGTCCTCGCAATTTCTGCTGATTTCAAGGCTTCTTAAGTAGTGATCCATGTGTGTGTGTGTGTGTGTGTGTGTGCGCGGTAGAGGCTGGCGGCTGATACACAATTTCCCATGATTATCTTCCTGTGTTCTACTTTGTGGCCACCAGCCTGGTTCACACAAACACATGTGGCCCCAGCCTGGTCCACATACACATGTGGCCCCCAGTCTGGTCCACATACACAAGTGGCCCCCAGCCTGATACACGCACACACACAGGTTCTCAAGATCAGTTGAACATATAACTTAACAAACTACTACTGACATACGCTACTGGTGGTGATGACGTCACTGTAAGAGTAGATTATGACGTCAGAGGCAGGTTGCGGTACCTTGCGGCACCAGGCGAACCGTACGCAGCCTTCCGCTCCTTAGGAATTCTACTTCCAATTTTGGGGGTGCGGTTTTTCAACGTCTTATATTATCAACCTATTTTTACTGCCCTTTTGCTGTTTTTTTTTTAGTGAGTTTTACGGTTTCTTTGTTATTCGAGTTATTATCAATATATTTTAGGTTTTTTAATTATTGCCAATGGTTTTGTGAGGTTTTTATTTCACCATTTACATTTAATTCCATTCACTATTATGTGACAATTATTAAGGTTTAACTTTCGACCCATCAGTATTAATTCAACTTTTACCACGTAATTCCTGTATAACATTTTGTATCTTTTTTTTAAGTTGTTCTACATTCTCTCTGTTACTATACGATTCTTAAGCCATTTTGTTATTATTTTCTTTATTTCTATTTATTTTGTGAATCATCTTAGTATTTTTTTACCTTTCTTTGGTTATGTTTCTCTGTTGAGGCTTCGTTAATATGTGTCGTGTTAAGCTTATTATTACTTGAAGATTCACAC